AGCCTGCTCTGCACCCAACATTCCTCCCTTTTTGTTTTTCTAAGTGACATGGGGGACGGCGTAAAGTCCTCTGGGTACTTTATGCTTAATGGTGGGCGGCGTTGGACCTAGAAGGGGAAGTGGAGGAATGTTCGGGGGACAGGTCTGAGAACACCAGAGCAGAAATAACACTCAGTGGCTACAGACAACTACTGTGGTAGGGGTAAAGTCCATAAAAGTTTCTTGAAGCCACAAGTCCTCGATGGCATCAAACCAGTCCTAGATGGAGGAGATTCTTGGTATCAGCCACTGGTCCTGCAGCAGGGACTCTAGGAAGTATTGGAGGTGGCTTGGTTGAATCCAGTAATGTTAAGGGTGACAGCCTGATTGCAGCCAGTGGAAGGGCAATCGCCTTGACCCATAAACTGAGAGTGGGTGGTGTCATCCTGGTGTCATGTCGCTTGGATGTAGAAGCGGTATCTGTGGTTTGAGATAAAAACTTGAGAGAGAATAATGATTAGTAAAAGAAGAAGAGGGTTGGCAAGAAATTTTGAGTTTGGTGGGCATGGTGGAAGTCCAGGACTGGACATTTGGAACAAGTGCCTTTTTAAGGTGGGAGACATGGTGGTACCAGGGGGAGTTTAGGTTTGATGCTTCCTTGTGGGGATACTGTAGAGCAGACAGAATAAGCAGAGTGGACGTGCTGGAGAGTAGTTCTCATTCCTAGGAAGTGAAAGAGGGGTTGTGAAAATTGGAAAAAGGGTTAGAGAGGGTTTTAGATGGGCACAGAGTCTCTGGAGCCAGAGGAGTTGGTCATGAGTCGTAGGTGTCCATCTTGGGCATCAGGGCTGGTAGTCTAAAAGAAGTAGTTGATTGACCAGCTTGTTGGTGAATTTGTGTATCTGATCTTGCATGAACTTTTATAGGCAATTTAATAGACATGGTCCTATTAGGAGAAACATAGAGAGGACTAATAGGGGTCCTGCGAGGGGGAGGAGCCAAGGCCATACTTAACTGAACATTCCCCATGGAGCCTGTTGGCTTAGTTGCTGTCTCCTCTTTTCTAGCTATTCTTGTCCTTTATTACTCCCAGGAATGACTGGTTTTGGCTTAACTGGTTTTGGTAGGTGTTTAAGACCAAGTTGGTCAAAATTGACTTTGTTTCTATCTATTGTTAAGAGTCAGCTGAGTTCCCATAGGGGTCACTCGTGGGGGAACCTGAGAGCAGCTTCTTAGTTCTGCTAGTGCCATTTGCGCTAGGATGGGTCCAGGTCTTGCTTGACCATGTGGCTTCCCTTGGAAGCATCAGGGATGTCTCCTGTCTCCAATGACCCTCCTATTCACAGCAAATGCACTGATTGGCTTTTCATTCTCCGGTGGTCTCAATAATCTCCCTGATCAGGAGGTTATGTGGCCCAGAGTTGTAAAGCTCTTTAGAGAAGTTCCCTGTTCCCTGGATTCAGACTGACTCAGAGGGCCAGAGCCAAATATTGGTTTTCTTGGCCATTTTAATTTAACTTTAAGTCTTGATCATAAACATCCAGCAAAGTCAGTTTCACCCTAAATTAAGAGTGTTGGGCTTTAGCTGAAGTCTGGCCTACTTTGGAGTCATTCTTACATGTAGTAAGATGGGAAGCACAGCCTTATCTCAGGTAAGGCTAAGATTTATAAATCTTAGGTAAAGTGTTCTAGTATTGAAGCTGATCTTTTTTTTTAAATATTATTTTATAAAATTTACATATATTGTTGCTTGATGTCACATGAATACTAGGTAATACAGTATATTACATTTAAATTGTACCCAGTGTATAGAACTTTATATTAATCTTATTGATAACAGGTCCAGTTATAAAACATTAAATGATATAAATAAATCTCTGATATGTTATTTTTATAAGCCTAAAATAACCATGTAACCTTTTGGAGAACACCAGCTTGATATAGTTTTTTAAAGCTTCTATCTTAATGACATATATCTGGAAAATATGAGCACATTCAATATACAAAGAAGAGTAATAGTACCACAATTATTATTGATGTTTTTATATTAATCAAGTTTAGCTTTTAGAGGAATAACATATTACAATATTGCAAAATAACGGTTGTTGTTTAACCATAGTTGTATATACAGACCTTCTTTAGCACTTACTTAAACCCTCTTATTTACTTAACAGACTCTCTTATCCAGAAACACATTTTCCTTCTATTAAATCCATACCTAGAACCTTCTAATTTTTCTTTCCTATTTGTTAACTCTTTCTTTGTTTCACATTTTTAAATAATCCTTGTAAATTTTTGAATTTAGGCAAATTATTTTATTTTAATAAGAGATATTTTGTTATTTGCAGTACACAATTAATCACATCTATTGACCATTTCATGAAAACATGAACAATGTTTAAGTATATAGAATTATACTGTTGTAGGAACAGACAAGGCAAGGCACCTAAGATAGCACTGAAGATAGGGAAATAGTTTTATTTGGTTGCAGCCGGATTTAGAGGGCACATCTTCTGCTGTAATCAATTAATTCCCTGAACCCCAAGTTTAGGTTGTTTCAGAATTTTGTACCCAACATGTAAGGGAAGGGGCTCAGAAGTTCGCAGTCTGCAGAAGTTCACAAAAAGCAGTTTTTATTTTTTCCTCTGTTCTGGGCAAGTTAACCCTTCAAGGACACTTGGGAGGGGGAGAGCTTTTTCTTCCCTTTCTCTCCTCTTCCCCCCACCCTCCCCACCCCTGCCAGCTGTTATCATGGAGCCCAGTTGGTAACCTCCTTATCTTAGACATGTAGCCTTCTCTGTGAAGCCCCAGCTCAAGGCCAGAGGCCTTGTTTTACATATTTTGTGAAACAGGGCAACAGGAAAATAGGAAGTTTATCTACATTTAACTTTTTGTAGAGATTGTTTTGCTGAAAGTCCTAAAATCAGCCATGGTGAAGATTTCTAGAGAAGGTCAGTTAAGCTTTTTCTGTGGGCCTGGGTAAGGAGGGGAAGACAGGAAGGTGGGGCTGAGAGCAGCTCAGTGGATCTGAGAATGAGGAAGGAGTGATGTAAAAGAATAGGATTTTCCCTAGCAAGGAAAACTTGAGCAGTAGAACAGGTAGAGCAGAGGGGAGGATGGGAGTGAATATCCCAAAAAGCCTGTAAGGGACAATTCTTAGTAACCTGTTTTCAGTGATGACAAAGCAACTTTAAAGGCCATTTTCACCAGATCTCTGATAGGGGTCCAAGGGCTCTCCTCAGCTGGTTTGAGCTTTGGGTTCGCTGGTAAGAGGACCTGGTGGGACCTGGTGTGGGCGCTGACAGGAGAAGAGAGGAGTGAGTGGGTAGAGGGATTCCTTCAGTACTTGCTACCTCAGAAAAGAGGCAATGTTTTGAGGAAAGACGGTTGTTTAGGTTTTTGATCTAGTGAGTGGAGAGGAGAAGTCAGGTTGTTCAGGTGGGGGAGACAGTGGAGGGGCTGAGGCAGAAGGTTGAGGGTGAGGACCTATTTGAGCTGGGCGATAGGGTGGAAATTCATCAGGAGGGTCAAAAGTAGTGGATAAGTCCGGAGGAGGAGGAGATTGGGGATCAGTGGTTGTGGGTGTTGGTTTGCAAGCTAGAAGAATTTGCAGAGGTCTGCAAGAGGTGCAGAGAGCACAAGCAAGAGGAAAGCTTTGATATAGCAGCTTTTTACCCATTTTTTCGAATGCTCACAGTAATTGTAGAGATCCCTTAGAATGGAGGGATCCAGGGACCCAAAAGGGGGGCCATCTGCTTTGGTTGTCTAAGGGATAAGTGGGCCAGGCCTGGGTGCTATATTTGATCAATTTTGGGGGTTTGATGTCTGGTGTCAAGGAGAGTGTTTTGAGGTTATCCAAGAGGCATTGTAGGGGAGAGTCGACCAGCAGAGAGGACACATTACTCATGTCACAAAGTAGTATAAGGAGGAGGGAAGGGGATGCAAACTTGGTATAGAGGAGAAGGAAGGAGACGCAACCGTAGTATAAGAGAGAAGGAGGAAACTGATTTATTGGCAAAAGGGGCGTCCCCGCTAGAGCCAAAAATCAGGAGTGCCTTAGTGGCAGGTTTGAGCTGCAGAGATTGGTCGTCACTGAATCCTGACAGTCGAAGCTCTCGTCCTGGACGGAGCTGGAGCCGTGGGAGACCTTGGCCAAGGCTTTTCTTTTCGGGACCCCTCCTGGAGAGGCCGGAGACTCGCAGGGCCGGAAAGAGGGGAAAGAGAGAGACAGGGGAAGAGGGAGGAAGGGGAGGGTAAGTGTCTGAGGACTAGGATTTTAGGAGAGCCACCAAGATGGTGAAGGTCTGGGTGGACTGTGATGTTCAGTTCTCTGTTATGTGTCCCTGGAGGTTACACAGTCCTTCGAGGGAGACCTACAATGCCTATGCTGGTAACTAACAGCTGGGAAGGGAAGGGAATAATTTTGAACCCAGGAGTCTATTCTGCCCTAGGAAGGAGTCCCTGAGGGCCACTGTAGCCTTAAAGGCTGTGGTGGGGTGTTTTCCTCCCCTCAGGTGGGCAAAGAGGTTTGCCGGACAATCAATGGCCAAATCCTCCTGACACCACCATTGGGTTTAGGACTCCAGGGAGGGGAAACTCACCAATCGAAGGCTGGTGGTGGATGGAGTTCTGGCAGTCGAGAAAATGGGTTCAGGTCTGGGTTCAGGCCATCTGGTGAGTGGCACTTCCGAAGGAAGAGGGACCCAAAAGTGGGTTTTAACCCTCTCCCGGGTTTCGGCACCAATGAAAGGAAAGTGACCACAACACTCGGAGCAACCAAAAGATCTTTATTGCAGCAGTGCAACAAAGAGAAAGGAAAGAAGGAAAGAGAGAGAGAGAAAAGAGAAGAGATGAACAGGGAGAGAGCAAGAGCAAGAGAGAGACAGAGAGCGTGCATAAGAAAGATAAAGAGCAAGAGAGAGAGAGCAAGAGGGGGGGGGAAAGAGGAGGGGGGGCCGGGGGGGGGGGGTTTTTATAGCCCAAATCTATTGGGCCTCTGGGTCTGCAAGCTGCCTTGATGGGCCCAGGTGGGGGGGGGGTTAAGTGTTCAGCCTTAAGCAGGGTTGAATGTTCAGACTTGAGGCAAACAGGTGATAAAGGACCAGATAGAGGGGGGTTTGAGTGCGTGGGCTATCTTGCAGCCAACATCTGTTCAGTCTGCCCTGCAGACAACACAGTTCAGCCTGCTCTGCACCCAACACCTGAAAGCATGGATTATATTGAACCTTATATATACAATTTTTTTCTATAGATACATACCTATGATAAAGCTTAACATATAAATTAGACACAGTGAGGAATTAATAACAATTAACTAATAATAAAATAGAACTATTTAAATAATATACTATAGTAAATAAGTGATTTTTGTGTGTCTCTCAAAATATCTTATTGTACTTAAAGGAAATACTTTGTGGCTTCTCTATGGTGTCACCACCATCACTATCGAAATCACTAACATCTTTACTTTTGCACTTGGGAATCATTATTAAATAAAATAAGGGTTGCTTGACCACAGCACTGCCATACAACTGTGATAGTCAATCTGATAAATGAAATAGCTACTTAAGTAACTATGAGGCAGGTAGCTTACAGAGTGTGGATACACTGGACAAAAGGATGATGTCCCAGGTGAAATGGTATGAGATTTCATCACATTACTCAGAACTGTGTGCCATTTAAAACTTATGAATTGTTTATTTCTGAAATTTTCCACCTATTATTTTTGGACCTTGGTTGATGAAAGTGAAAGTATAGATAAGGGGGAATTATCATGCTGAAACCAGTTATTTACACACACACATACACACACACACGCATGCACGCACAATTATAAATGTGGCTACAGGGACTCAAATATTAAAAAAACTGAAATGGATAATTATATTTCAAATTGTTCAGTTAAAATTACTGGAAATGAGAATAGTTGAGGAAGCAAGAATATTTGATTTCTCATTCTGCATAATGAAGAGTAAAGTTAGTGTTTATATTTAGTAAAACAGTAAGTTTGCTCTTCTGGCTGTCTATATCAACTCACTGTTATTCTGCATTGCTACAGAAAAGTCCCAAACCACCTTTCTGGGTTGCCTTGCTCATGTGGCTGTGGGTTAGTCTCTGCCTGGGACACTCTTGTGACATTTGGATGGAGAAGCCATTGTTCTCCTGAAACAGTTACAGCTAAAAAGTGGACCGCCTGAGATTTCACAGTGGCTTCCCACTCAATCCCGAGCACCACCTGCTTCAAACCTCTGGCTCAGACCTTGATGGCACACTTGTTGACCTTCCTCACGCTGTTCTTCCAAAGTTTGTGCCAGCCCCTGCTTCCTGTACTAAACCTTTCATCCCTGGAAAAATTGGACATCATTTTCCTGACTGAATCCTGGCTGATACTTTTGAATTTAAGAATCTGTTCATAATTTAGTCACCACCCATAGAATTTAAAGCAGGAAGTCTCGTTTCCACATCACTGCAGAAGATAAAAGCAAACAAAATACCATCCACCTAGCAAAAAGACAAAACAGAAAGAAAAGAGAGAAAACTTAAGACATAAAGCAAGATGACAGAAGTAACACCAGGCCAAAGAGTTATGTCAATCAACGTCAACACTTTTAAACCCCCTTGGATAAGAGGCAGAGACTCTCAGCTGGAGTCACAACAACAAGGAAATCCACAGGCTGCTCACCACATGTGACTTCAAATGGTATCAAAAAGTTGCCAATGAAAGGATGGGACAAGGATGTGCCAGGCAGGTGTCAGTGGAAAGAAAGCCAAGAAGGATTTAAGATAATAAGGATTAAACAGGGTAATCAGAATCCTAAAAAAAATGTTAACTAGTGGATGGATTCATTCTCATTGTAAAAAGCTTAAAAATACAGAATGAAATAGCAGGAAGCATTGACGGCGTTGGGGGTATTATCCTTTTAGACTTCTATCATTTATCTATTAGCAGGTACAGAATTCACCTGAAGCCAGAGAGACAAAAATAATTGTATTTTCTTCTGTCTCTTTTATAGAAATAAGGAAATCTTTCCCCAAAGCTACAATATGAAGGATATGGAAAATAGGCCCCAAGGAACTTCCCTTACAGTTCCCCCACCTGCCCCGCCCCACCCTAAATGAGCCCAACATCAAAACTCCTCTCCTGACCTGGCCCTGCCCATCAAAAGGGACCATCAAAAGTAACTAACTCTTCCCGTGACCCCACTCTGCTAAGGTCCCATAAAACCCAGACCCTTTTGGTGACCTGCTGCCATTTTCCCACCCAAAGATGTGCCCCTCTGGTGCTGAATAAAGCATCTCTGGTCCATGAGGTTTCCTTCCATTTTCTTTTCCTTTTTGTATTCTATTTCATGTGCTTTCACAATACACTTCATATGTCTTGAACCAATTATTCCTCAGGGAAATGTGATCACCACATTTACGTTAGCTTAGTCTGTTGGAGTGAATCCAAGTGAGGAAGGGAGGGTCAAAGACAATGGTCACCCCAATGGTTTTGTTAAATTTTAAATGTCTGTTACCTGAAATTTATTTGTGTATAGTGCTAGGGAAGGATTTTAGCTTTATTTGTTTGATGAATATTGTATTATTTGAATACCATTATCAAGTCATTATTTTGTTATTGATTTGCTTGTTTTTGCAGTACTGGGGGGGGGGGAGATTCGACTCAGGGACTCTCACACTGGGTAACTTCTGTACTACTGAACTACATCCCTGTTCCTGCTACTGATTTGAAGTTCCACCTTTAATACATTTACACACACACACACACACACACACACACACACACCCTCCTAATCCAGAGTTTTGCAGGTCATTTTTTGCATCTCCCAGAAAGAGTTATCATCTTCTTCATCTTAAGTCATATACATTTGCTGTCAGATATGTTGGGCTTGCTCAGGCTGCTGCTACACAATGTTATAGGCTGGAAGGCTTAAAAAACAGATTTATTTTCTCCCAGTCCTGGAGGCTAGGGAGGTCAAGACCCAGGTGCTGGTGGATTGGTATTTGGGGTCACTTCCAGGGTCATCAACTGCTGACTTCTCACTGTGTCCTTACATGGAAGAAGGAGCAAAAAGGCTCACTGGGGTCTCTTTTATAAGGGCACAAATCATGTTCTTGAGGGCCCCACCTACCAAAGGCCACTCCTCCTAATATTATATTGGAGATTAGGGTTCAACTAAGAACAAGAGGGTACAAATGTTTTGACTAGAACACCTTCTAAAGACCTCATCTCCAAGCACAGTCCCATGGGGGAGTTAGGGCTTCCACATATAAATTTGGAGGGGGGGGCATAGTTCAGTCTATGGCATTGAGCTTATTATTGGTATTTCATGGTGTTTGAGGCCACTGTGAGCAGAGAGAGAACTGTGGGCAGGCAAGGCTCAATAGTAGCCATGGGAGAAAATAACAGTATCTGCTTATATCCTAACGAGTGCAGCTTATCTATGAAAGTTTTATTACAGATGTACTCTCCAAAACGGATGTGCCAATGTACATTTCCCCCAGCAGAGTTCCTGTTTTCCCACATCCATGTCAATTCTTTCACTTCTAAACTCTGCCACACAAATGAGTGAAAACGTGTAACTTCTTTATGTTTGTATTGTCCTAATTGACCAGCAAGGATGAACATCTTTCATGTGTGAATGCCTTCAGTGTTTCTCCTTCTGTGCATTAATTATAGCTTTTCCCATTTCTCCCAAGGTTGCTGTTTTTTTTTTCTTTTCCTTATTAATTTGTAGGTCTTCTTTCTATAATTATAAAGTACCTGCAAACATGTAAATATTTTTTTTCTATTCTGTGGCTTATCTTTTTTTTCTCTCTCTCTCTTTTTTTTTTTTTTTTTGGACAGGGTCTTGCTAAGTTGCTCAGGCTAGTCTTGAACTTGCAATTTTCCTATCTCAGCCTTCCAAGTAACTGAGATTATATCTTTTCATTTTCTAAAAATAATGTCTTTTGATGTGCCAAAGTTTTTTATTTTAAAATAGTTACATTCACAACTCTTTCCCTCAGGGTTTCTCCTGTCAAGAAATATTTTCCTAACCTAAGGACACAGAATATTATCATATATGTTAATAAGTTTAATGGCTTATGTTTTCCATTTGGACCTTTAATCCTTCTAGAAATGACTGGATAAAAGGTAGAGTGGGAATTTGATTTCACATTTTCCATTTGGTGTTCCGGCACCAACACCGACTGTCACCGGCTCTATCTTTCCTGACTCACTAGTTACATCACCTCTGCTCCATGTTGGGTTTCCTTTTATTTTTTTTCAGTTTCCAGGTTTTCTACTCTGTTCCACTACTCTGTCATTTTCCTCCTATGTCTAGAGGCAACTTTGTCCTTAACAAGGAGGGTGGTGGGTCCACATGCAAACGAGTCTTTGCACAGCACCCAGGTGTGTGTCCTGGGGCAGAGTTTTAGGTCTGACCCTTTTGAAGATCTATAAAAAGAACCACTTGCCAAAGAAAGGAAATACTCAAAAGCTCTAAGATTTCAAGAGTGCCGTCACTCCAATGCTATAAAAACTTTGGTTTGCAACATCCAGATTTCTTGCAAGGAGATGATGTAGTCAAATTAATCCTTTCTGCACTTTGTACACAGAAACGTAATTAGAGTTGCCTTCCAGTGGTCAACGTAAACTGGGTTTGAGAGAAACTTAGAAAGTCCTCCCCATTGTGTGACATTAAATATTTACAAATGGTGATTCTGTATATGATTTCCCCACCTACTTTTAGATTTTCTGCATCTAAAAAAAATTTTATAAGGCATGTGCTCAAGTATAATAATAAACCAACTGTGGGCTTAAACAAATGGGGTTTTATTTATCCCAAGAAAAAGAAGTCATTGGGTAGAGATGTCAGGGCTGAGCTGGTGCCTCAATACCGTCAGGGACCACACTGTCTGTCTTGCTGCTCCACCAGCCTGAGGTGTATGTAGGCCTTCGCCCTCATCCTCGGAACCTGTTGGTCACAAGATGGCTGCTATTTTTCCAGGCTTCATGCTTATGTTAAAAGAAGTAAAAGAAACAGGAAGGAGGAAGTGGTGACATCTTTGTTAGGAAAGCAGAAGCTTTTCCAGAAATTTATCTTTGCAGTCTGTTGCTGTCTCACTGTTCGTGTCTTCTCTTGGTGGAAAGGGGCTTGGAATGTGAGACTTCTATAAGAATACCTTGTTGCGTGGAGCATTGGGAAGCTGGGTTTGGCAAACGATGGCCAAATCTGGCTTGCTCTTTTTGTAAATAAAGTTTTATTAGAACGCAGCCATCCCCACTTATTTTCATGGTATATACGGCTGCTTTGGCTACAACAGAAGAATTGAGTAGGTACAACAAGGACCATGTGGCCACAAAGCTGAAAATATTTACTACCTGTTCTTCTACATAAAACTTTGCAGCCTCCTAATCTAAGGACTAAGGGGAAAGGATAGAAAAAGATAGATACCTAAAGGATAGATATTTACCAGTAAGTAAGGAAGCCATAGCTCTTGAGCTCCCACCCCAAGGAGAGCAAGTGGTTCAAGTGCACACATTCCACAACAAAGTGGCAGGTGCTCAAAAAGAAAAAAAAAGCACGTAAATTAGAAAGGAACTCAGAAGAACAAATGCCTTTTTATAGAGTTTCCAGGCCCTGCTAGGCACCTGCCCTGATGTCAGAAGGACAATGGCCTAATCTTCTGTCATTTTTCTTTCTTTTCATTTTCTGCTCACTGGGACAGATGAGAAATCTCCTCCAGTCTCCAGGGTTCTTCAGGAGGAAAGCAGGAAGGTGGGAGGCTGTGTGAAGTCAGCTCCTTCCTGTCCTCCTCGCAGTAAAAGTGAAAGGTAAGGTCGCCTTGCGGGTCTCACCAGAGGAAACAGCTCTCTCCGTCACCCTGAGAGAGTGTGTGGCGGTGGCTAAGGAGACCACGGGATCAGCGATGGGCCCTCTGAGCTTTTGTCCCAGGTTCGGTTCCTTTGGAACAGTCTTGCTCTATTGCACACTTGAGTCGCCTTGACTAGAAAAGATGGGCCGAGGAAGCCTGCCAAATAAATGGTGGTCACCTTCCTTGATCCTAAGTGTTTTAGTTAGCTTTTCTACCTCTGGGACTTCGCAAGAACAGTGAAGAGGAAGAAAAGTCTATTTGGGACTCACCATCTCAGAGGTCTTAGTCCACAGAGGACTAACTGCATTGCTCTGGACCCAAGGTGCGGCAGAACATCATGGTGGAAGGATAGGACAGAGGAAAGCAGCTCTGGACACAAGAGAGAGAAAAGGGGGGGAGGAGGGAGAGGGGGAGAGGGAAGGAGGGAGGGAGGGGGGAGAGGGAGAGAGGGGGAGAGAGAGAGAGAGAGAGAGAGAGAGAGAGAAAGACAGCTCCACTCACCAAGGACAAAATATGAACCCTGAAGGCACACACCCAATGACCCACCTCCTCCAGCCACACCCTCCCTGCCTATAGTTACCACCCACTTAATTCCTCTCTATGGTTTAATACACTAATTAGGTTAAGGCTCTGATACCTGATCATTTCACCTCTAAACTTTCTTGTTTTCCTCACACATGAGTTTTTGGGGGATACCTCAGATCTAAACCATAACAGTAAGAAAAAGAGATTCACATTTGGGACAGGCATGACACTAAATTCTCATGATGTTCTCGGGTCAAGCGTGACTCAGTGATGAGGCATGAGGCTGGGACCCTCCACCCTAAGCCACCAGAGCTCAGGTTCTTCCCAAGGTGATGATCATGACACTTCAGAATTTATATTCAAAATGTTTAAGGTAATGGTTTAAGACATGGCCTTTAGGGAATCCACCTTCCCCATGTCTGCTAGAGATCCATTTTCAAATGTAAATCTGAGAAGGCACATTGGTGTGTTTCAAGCAGTGAATGAACCCTGATCAGTTAGTGGTCACTGCCCGGAGCAGAGTCCCGAGTATCTGTCTGGCCTCAATGTCACTGATCTGGGAGCGGTGCACGGGCATGAAAGAAAGAGGTGCTGTCAAAATCCAGGTGTTTAACATGATTGGCTACAGTTTTACTTTTCCTACACAGGGTTCCTCCTTCTTCCTTTAGGATATTGGACCACCTGGATCAATTCCTTGTGGATATTTTTTTTTCATTTATATTTACTATAATTTTAATATTTCTTACATTCTAATAAGTTATCTGGACGTTATTATCTAATCCTTTTCTTAAAAACTCAGTCTTGTATTGACAATCCATTTTTTCATTCCCCTACTCTCTTTCTCTCTGGTTGTTCTTTCCATAGCATTGCTTTTAAAATAATTTTTTTTTCTTTTCAGGAAAATTGCAAACTAATTGAGTGGCCCAGAAGGCTCTCAGAAGCTGGCTGGGTCCTGAGTTACTCCTGTCTGCTGTGTCTCCCGACTCTGCCCTTTAGCTGTTCACATGCTCAGAGCTCTGTCCTGCTTTAGGCCTCCCCCATGGTCTTCCTTCTTCCCTCTGCTTAAAACACTCCTTCTTGGCAAGGACCCTCCCCACACCTGCTTGTCCTTAGCTCTAATGTTGGCATCTTTGCAGAAGTTTTACTAAAGCTCTCACCTAATCCAAAACAGTTTCTGTGTATTAGCTTGGGATAACAAATGAAACATTAAATTTTTTTATTGTAATAAGAACAGATAGGGGCTAGGGTTGGGGCTCAGAGGTAGAGTGCTCACCTAGCACGAATGATACACTGGGTTCAATCCTCAGCACTACATAAAAATAAATAAAGGTATAGTGTCTATCTACAACTAAAAAATTTTAGAAAAAAATAACAGATAACATGAAATCTACCTTCTTAACATATTTGTGTGTGTGTGTGTGTGTGTGTGTGTGTGTAGAATACAGTATGGTAGCAATAAGCACAATGAGTAGAGCAGGACTCAAGAACTTATTCTGATGATGCTATTTGCATCCCTATTTTCTGTGTCAAAATTTACGTCTCTTCAGAGCTGGTCCTCCATAAATGTTTGCAGAAAATATGAGGACACTGTCGTCAAAATCATGGAGGAAGATGCTAACACTTCATCTCTTGGGGATAGGAGAATAATCCCCAAGACAGAACCACTATACCCCAGTGTCTAGGACAGGAAGCTTGTGGGGCAGAGGGACAGGTGCCCTTAACAGAGCTCTGTCCTTTCTCTAAGACAGAGGTAGTCGATTTTCCAAAAGCATCTGTGCAGTGCTGTGGGTTGTGAGGCTTTGCTGCTGTGTTGGGTTCGAGTGTCTCTCCTTGAAAGTGCTGCTTTCTCTGGAAGAGCAAAGATGAACAGGGCAAGACCATTCTTTCTCAGTGCTTGGAACTAGAATAGCAGAGTATCTAACCATATGGATTGGGCCCAAGAAAAACTTTGCTAAATGTTGTTCACACTTCAGCTGACCTTTAAAATAATTGTTTTAGGGTTATAATATGATCTGAATTTCTTATGGAGATAAATTAGAGCTTTATTTTTTAAAAAATTGTTTCTGTTTTTATGGCGATTATCAAGAATACAAGCAATAATAAGTGTTGATGAGGATATGGGGGAAAGGTAAACTCACACATTGCTGGTGGGACTCCAAATTGGTGCAACCACTATGGAAAGCAGTATAAAGATTCCTTAGAAAACTTGGAATGTAGTCACCATCTGACCCAGTTATCCCACTCCTCAGTTTATACCCAAAGAACTAAAAATCAGCATACTACAGTGACACAGCCATATCAATGTTTTTAGCACTCAATTCACAATAGCTAAACTAGGGAACCAACTTAGATGCCCTTCAATAGATGAATGGATAAAGAAACTGAGGTACATATATACAATGGACTATTACTCAGAATTAAAGAATGATATTATGGCATTTGCAGGTAAATGAATGGAACTAGAGATTATTATGCTAAGTGGAGTAAGCCAATCCCAAATAACCAAAAGCTGAATGTTTTCTTTGATAAGCGGATGCTGATCCATAGTGGGGCTGGGGATAGGGAATAATGAAGGAACTGGTTTGTGTAGAGGGGAGTGAGGGGAGGGGTGGGGCTGTGGGAATGGGAAGGACGGTAGAATGTGACAGATATTATTACCCTATATACATGTATGATTATACTACTGGAATGACTGCACTGTGTACAGCCAGAGAACTGAGAAGTTGTGCTCCATTTGTGTACAATATGTAAAAATGCATTCTACTGTGGTATATAACTAATTATAACAAAAATTTTAAAATGCAATTTTTGTCATAAAAACATTATTTTGTCTTCTGAAGTACATGTTTACTTTGAAGTAAGCTTATTGGTAAGTCTTGACCTTTCCCTCTCATGCCTAGCTGTATTGTTCAGGACGCTCACAAGCAACTGTTGACTGTTGTTGACTAAAACTGAGTATTCAAGGACAGTTTAATAAAGAGGTTGCTTAGGAAGGGGTGAAGAGAGTTTAGGGAAAGCAGTCAGGGATATTGCAGCCTTTGGAGGTATCCACTGTTGGAAGCCATCACCTCCCCTAGGCCACAAAGGGCAAGAGGAGAGAGCCATTGTAGGAAGTCATGGAAGGAGCTAACAGGAAGAGCTGTGAAAGGAGCTCTGGACCCTCTTAGAAGGATACAGCTGACCACAGCAACTCCGAGGGGAGGGATACTGGGAAATGTATCTCCTCACTTCACTCTTGACCTTCTTCCCATCCCCCATCAGTCAGTCTGTTGGCATTACCCACAGGAAGCTAACTGGGAGGCAAGGGAAGCCATTGATGTAGTCCACCCAGGCCGGCCTCCTGGGTACAGGGCAGGGGGAAGGGCAGAGTGCATCTGCAGGGACAGGCAGAAGACAGTTGACACAGCACTGATGTTTAGTTAGCTATTTACATGAAAAATCTAAACAATAGAAAATTGGGAATTTGGGGACATGGTGGTGGGGGGACTTTTTAATGATATCCAGTGTTGATAGACGTATGTAAGTATATTATACTCCGTTGGTGCAAATGATGGGAATCTGTAGAAAGCAATTTGGCAGCATTAAGAGCTTTAAAATTGTTATAACTTTGATAACTTGAACAAGCAATTCCATCCCAAGGAATATATCCTAATGAAATATCTAGAGATGCACAGAAAGATTTATGTACAAAATTCTTCATTGCATCAGTATTTATAATAGCAAAATTGTGAAAATGATTTTAATTTCTAGCAATGGGGGAGTTGGTTAAATAAATTATGGTCGGTTTATAGGACATTGAAAAACATGTTTTAGATTTGTGGTGTCCAGTAGGGTAGACACTAGCCACATAACACATGGGCAGTTTGAACTAAATGAGGATATGATACACACTGGATTTTTGAAGATTTAGCATGAATAAAAAGAATGAAGTGTATCCCATGAACAGTTTATTACTTGAAGAATGAAATGATAATATCTTGGATATGTAGGTTAAATAATGCATTTTGCTAAAATTAATTTGACTTTATCTTTACTATTTTGTAAAATGTGTCTATTATAAAAATGAAAATTAACACATGATTTATAATATATACTATTGGAAATGTTGCTTTTGATAAAAATTACAAGATGGGGAAAGCATGTTTTCAAACAACATTACATGGCAGTATGTTTTGGTGATTTAATGTTACAGGCAAATCAGGTTATGAACTGATAATGGGGCAAAGTGACATCATGGGCCTCCTGGTGAGATGTACCTAGAACACTATATCACTCAGGAAGTATTCCTGCCCAAAACATGTGACTGGACTCTAATCAGGAGGAAACATCAGATAATTCAATTTGGGGACATTTTAAAATTTTAAAATGCTAGCCTGTGGTCTCTGAACATATCACTATCATAAAAGACAAAGAAAGATGAGAAACAGTTGTAAATTAAAAGAATATAAAGAAACGTAACAACCAAATGCCATGCTTTAAAAATGTTGTAAAGGACATTATTGGGATAACTGGCAGATTATGAATATGGGTAATTATATTCTCTTAATGTTAAATTTCTTAATTTTGACCATTGTGCTGTGGTTAATTGAGTATCCTCATCCATAAAAAAAATACATGCTGAGGAGCTGGGGATATAGCTCAGTTGGTAGAGTGCTTGCCTCACATGCATAAGGCCCTAGGTTCAATCCCCAGCACCACTTAAAAAAAAAAAAAAAAATATATATATATATATATATACACACACACACACACACTCTGAAGGACTCAAAGAGTCACAATGTCTGCAATTTACTCTCAAAAATTATTGCAGGTGTAGGCGTGTGTGAATTCATTGAGCTCCTTTTGCATCTTATATAAATTTAAAAGTTTTAAGAGTAAAACATCAAAAAGAAATGTAAAGTATAAATCATTCTAAAGCGTAAGAGAGGCAGCACTGTGGGAAAGTACCAGAAAGATCTTATTCCAAACAACAGCCTCTTCAGGTCCAGGCAGCATGGACCTCTGCCCTGGGCCTCTCTCCTTTTCTTCAGCTGTGGCTGCACCACACACAGCACAGGGATCCTACAAAGGCCTGAGGGCCCCCATCCTAGAGCACGCTCCCAGTAGCCAGAACCCTGGATACCCATCCAAGAGCCCACTCCCACTCTTGTCTGTGCCTGTTGCCTAGGTTCATTCTTCCCAATAATGATGCACACTGATACTGGGCTTACCCTCAGGCTGGAGGGAAAGGTGTTTGGAAGTGGTGGGGGGAGTCCATAACCTGTGGGCATGCACACCAAGGTGTCCAGGTGCATTCCCAGGAAACTCCCTACTGTGCAAGAAGAGCCAGGAGTGGTAACAGAAGGGAGTCGGCTGCAGGCTGGGAGTCAAAGGCCACCATTTTGGTGTGGAACTTTGCATCTGAGAAGTCTAAACTCAGGTCTGACCTTATAGGTCATTGTGAAGGTATATTTGACTAAGAACAGAGCTAAACCACATTTTATATACAGTTTGCCAGCCCAATAGATAATTTCAAATTATTGAAACATGTCATATTTGGGCCTTCATATGTGCTCCTTCTCCAGGTCCCTGCTTCAGGGTGTAAACAGGTGGAGGAAGCCTAGACAAGCCCGCCACACAGGCCTGGCATGGCCATCCTCCTCACTCTCACCCCACACCTTAGAGAGAGGAGTCCTGTAATGACACGGGAAGGTGGGTGGGAACCTGGACTGCACACGCAGTCCGGGGACAGAGATAACCCAGAGGGCCCCAAGGGGAAAACAAACACTTTCCAAGAAAACCTCTCACAGGCAGGTGAGGACAGGTCACGGTGAGAACAGAGAGCCTTCTGTCTGGCAGAGATCTAATCTCCAGACCCAGAACAGCGCAGATTATCTGGAAAACTCTTTTGAGGTTCAAGTCTTACCTAATATCCCCAAAGGGGGTTGGAGGTGGGACTAGTAGCCAGGATCCCAGGGACGAGACCAGGAGCTCTGGGTCCCAGGTTGAGACCAACCAGGCTGCCTGGAGACTTACCAGTGCTCACACACGGCCTGAGAAAGGCTCCAAAAGGCATCCTGGATGTGAGAAAGGCCTGGCCAAGGGGTTCCCTGTTGCCAGCCATGGGTTCTGTCCCTGATGCCAGCCCATGCTAGCCATGACACCCCCTAGGAAGGCTCACACCCATGG